AAAAGCTACTCCCTTTCTTTAAATTTAGTTGATTTATTTTGACTATTAAATTATTCAAACATAAATTTGAAATAAACATTTAAAATAATATAAATGATAATTAACAATTTTTTTATTAAATAAAATTATTCAACAAAAATTTTATAAGAAAAAAACCCACATCCTGGTACAGCAACCAGCCCTGCCTCTTTTATTAATTCCTTAACATATTCTACCTGGAAAGAACAGAATCACCATTTATATCGCATAAACAAACTATTAGCAGAATTCTGGCATTATAAAAGTCAATTTAATATATGATCAATTCTTAGAATGAATGGAGCTCCAAAGTTTAAAAAGAAAAAAAAAAAGTACATCTACCTACTACATCAGAAAGCAAGCAATTCTTCGGAAGCTCTACAAATAAAAAGATGGAACCTTGGGGCTTAAAATGAATTTGGAAACCAACCGAGGTGAGCACCTTCACAATGACATCCCTTCTAAATTCATATTCCTGCTAATCAATAGAAAATAAATATGCAAAAAGGTGACAGTGGGAGCATTAGCATGATCTTGCATTTTGGTTTGTGTTATAACAGTAAGTAAGCTATGGTCATCCACTCCACAGTGACAAGTAAAAGACTAAAACATGGCTCTGTCCAAGGAACCTACTTTTTTCAGTCCTTCAAAATATTCAGGGGGGCTTGTCAAAGCAGTTAACGCAGCTTCTTGGAAAGCTGCTGGAGCAGAATCTGTAATTTTGACATGAATGTTTCGGATTGCAGATGCAGCAAAAGCTGGAGCAATAGCCCATCCAATTCTCCAACCTAATACTCATAACAGTGAGTATCACTCTGTTTCTATATCAAAACTAGACGTAATAATTAAGAACCAGTTATTGAGGGAGACTGGAAATTATGCCACAATACAGTGGACAGAGGACAATGAGTGTGGGACATCTACCTGAAAAACGTATTAAGAAAAAAAAAAAGAGCCATCACCACAAACAAATTCAGACCTAAATTCTGTAGATACGATGCTTTTTATTTGACCTGTAACACTTAAAGTTTTAGACAAGGAGGATGTGATGATAGTTCTCTTTTGCATTCCTGGGAGTGAGGCAAGAGATATATGTTTCTTGTCATCAAATGTTATGTGCTCATATACCTGGAGAAACAAGTATGAAGACAAAGCAATCCTCAGACATCAATGAAATAGGTCAACATTTTCTTTCTTTTAGACAGAACTACCACGACAGATTACAGATAATAATTGCACTTTGCTTAAGGAAAAACTAATAAAAATTACATGACAATTAACCACTTAGAATGTTTATTTCAGTTAGGGAATTTGACAAATAGCTGCATGATGTCAAGTGTATTATAAGATGAACTTCTGATATTTACAATTCTATCCATATATATCTATAAGCAATGGTTTTAATTTCCTCTCTTTATGTGTACTGTCCTTCTAGGTACTTCATCAGCACTCTGCTCAGTTCAAGCCTTGTAAAAAATGACAATATGAAGTGTTGCCTAATATCCAGTAATAACAAGAATGCAACCTACTTGGCCAGAGAAAAAGAAAAACAAAACAAAAACAGAATGACACCTATGCATAACCTCATGTTTTAAATTCAAATACTACCTTCAGGGAAAAAATAAATAAACAACTTAAAAAAACTTATAGTTTTACCCAGCTTATATAGTCTACATTGGGACAAAGGTCTCCACACATTAGAACTGTTCAGTGAGACATCATAGAAGCATGTGTCATGCATGTTCTAAACAAGTGACATATTCAACCATATACATGTTTCACTTTTCACAAATATTAACAAAAATATTCTCATACTTCATCTGTTATAGCAAGGCAATCCCATCTGCAGCAGGCTTCAGCAATAACTTCAAGCTCTTCCTTGGAGAAAACTTTGCCAGTTGGGTTGTGAGGGCTGTGCAAATCCAGTATCAGTATGTTAAATAACAGTATAAGAAGCACCTTATCTTAGTCTTATTAAACAGTTTCACACACACAGCTAATGCCATACAGGTGATTATAGTTTTGGATTTTGAAACCAAAGTACATCTTTTTGTTTTCTAACTCAATCTTCCTAACCTGTTTAAAATAATAGCTTTTGTTCTGCCGGTAAAAGACTTCAATAACTTGCCAGGGCACAAGGTCCACTGAGGTGGATCAAGGGCAACATATACCTGCAGTAAGCAATCCTTAGTTTTTACAATCAAAAGTACTAAATCTCTAGGGTTTAAGGGCAACGCAAGAACTTACTGGGACTCCTCCTGCCATGGTAATACACCTTTCATAAGTTTCATATGAAGGATCAAATAGCACAACTTCATCTCCAGGGTCAATTACTATCCAGTGAATTGCCATTTATACATAAGAACATGCAAATTGAAGCAACAAGTTGCATATTAGGAAGAAAACACACCAGCAAAAATCGCTGCTGCAAATGCTTCAGTTTGTCCACAGCAAATGGCTATATCCGTTAGAGGATTAACATCCAAATCATGCATTTTCTAAATTGTTGCGGCCAGGTGGTCACAAATTCCTTGCACATGCCTTTCATTACAGCAACTAGGAATTTCAGTGCAATTAATCTCTCCCAAACAATATATATAGAATAATAAGTAGATTTTTTTCTACATCTGTGGAAATTAACAATCATTATCATGAACATGCATGTCCAGCAATTAATGCAACTTCTAAAAAATTTGCACAAACACCAGATAAATGATGTGAGGCAAACCTGTACTGGTTGAAGTCGGAATTAATGGCGCATACAGCAGCGTCTTTGATATGGAGAGGAGCGGGGAAGTCCGGGAAGCGCTCGGCGAGGTTGATGACATTACATCTCTGAGCGGGATGAGAGAGTTCTTGTATGGGAGAAGGGGTAAAGTTCTTCGCCACATATGAGAGCTTCTCTTCCACGGCGCGCTCTGCTCTGAATTATGATTACTGTTTGTGTTTACTTCTCTGCCTTATCCAGTCGCTTATTCTGTTTTCGTTCTGAGTTAAAGCGGCGATATGTGCGCTGATCAAAATAAAAAAAAAGCGGCGATATGTGCCGGTGCCGCCAAAAGAAGAAGAAGCGGTTTTCGGTGCGGTTTAGGAAAGAGTGCTGTTTTCCATTTACCTCATTTTTTTAAGAGGATGAATTTTTTTAGTCCCTAATTACATAAAATAAAATAAATATATATAATTATAATATTATATAAAAAAATAATACCTATCAATCTTACCTTTAAAGATCAAAAAACAAATTACCTTAAAATTATATAATTCCAATAAAGTATTACAAGAAAGGATAAAAAAACTCTAATTCATATTTTAAAAATAAAGTATTTTAATTTTTTTTAATGAAAATTTATTGAAACTTGTAGTTTTAGTATGATTTTTCTTATAATTTTTAAGAGGTAAAATAGATAAACATTATTTTTATTTGAATAAGTAGCAATCTAGCAATATAATATAGTATTAAAGTATTTATGTTTTTGTTATTT